GTGCCCTAAACCCTAAACCCTGAGCCAGGGAGTCGGCAGCATGTCACGTGCCCTCCTAGATTTGCCAACCGTCCCACAGTCTGTGCCCCCTTAGCTTAGGGGCTGAGTACCCTAGCCCAAAAAAGGTTAACCTTTTGAATTCTAGTAGGAAATATAAGCCCCAAAAGGTTAAAGGTTACCTACTCAGCCTGAGTTACCCTGTTTCAGCGGCCCTGGAAGTGTGTTCCAGGGAACACTCAACAGCAAGGGCCTTCTCGAAACCCTGCCCTAAACCCCTAAACACCCTAAACCCTAAACCCCTAAACACCCTAAGCCCCTAAGCCCCTAAACCCCAAACCCTAAACCCTGTTTACACCCTAAACCCCCAAACCCTAAACCACGAAACAGGGGAGCCCAAGTGGGGGTCTCCGAAACTGGGGGACCCCAATATAGTACCCCAAATAGTAGGATCCTTGTTCTAAGGACCCCCAAAATGAGGTACCCCCCTAAACAACCCTAAACCCTAAACACCCGAAACCCTAAACACCCTAAACCCTAAACACCCTAAACCCTAAACCCTGTTTACACCCTAAACCCCAAACCCTAAACCACGAAACCCTTAATTTAAGGAATATACCTTAAATTATAAGGGGACCTCATATTACGATTTAAGCTACATTCCTCAATTAAGGGATATTGGGCTCTCTGGGGGGAAGCCGAAGTCTGACCGTTCCTGGGAGCTAGGATTTGGGGGACCGTTGGGGATATAGACCCTCTCAATAAGGTCCCTTTTAAGAGAGCCAAAAGTAGGGTTCAGAAGGGGTACCCTTTAAGGGGTACCCCTAATGATACTACCTAGAAACCAAGTCTGACCGCTCCTGGGATGTCTGCTCCGGCTGTTGAGATGTCGACGCTTGCGGCGGCGAGGGGCTTCTGAGACTGGCGTTGCCTCAGCAAAAATGAGCTCAGATCCGATAGAAATGAAGGCTGAAGGGATTAATATGGGGCCTTGATATTTAGACTAGGATTCGGGTGATTTTTGGGTGGATTTTTGGGGTATATGATACTATAACCCTAAGAAGGAACCCCCCCCAAACATAGTATTGGTAATTCTTTTGGCCCCTATATTGGTTGAGGGCTTAGGCCGACTTAGCCGTCATTCCTTGTTCAACCAAGAACCTCATCATGGCTTTTGTGGATGATGCAACGACTCTCTGCTAAGACTCTCTGATGAATAATGGAATAATCGCCCCCCCCTCCCAGACATTAAGGGGGGGTGCCCGCTCAGAGAAACTCGGAAAGTTTTTTGATTCTCAAATGTGCTTTTTCTCGGCTGTGACTTTCCGTGGATCTTGCTCCGCGGCGCTTGCTCTTGCTCCTGCTCTTGCTCCTTCTCCTGCTGTTGGTCCTACTCCTGCTCGTGCTCTTGCGCCGGCGCTTGCTCCTGCTCCTCCTCTTGCGCTTGCTCCTGCTCTAGCTCCTGCTCTTTCTCCTGCTCTTGCTTTTGCTCTTGCTTCTGAAACCCCCTAAGTCCAAGCAGGTTTCATTGGGCGGGGATGATTTCAGAGGGACTTCACGGAAAGCGGGTTCAGTATCAGGGGGAGTGTTTAATGAAAGGGGGGAAAGTGATTACGAAGGCTGTCGCGCCTGGCCCCAGGGTTTCTTCTCAAGAACCTGAACGCAAGGTGCCCTAGGTTTCTATATGCTTCTATTTTACTTAATATACTAAACTAGGGAACTCTAAGAGGGACTGCTACTATTTATGCAGGCCCCTGTGTAACTTAAATTGTTGTGTTCCGAGAACATGTAGAGCTAAGGCCTTACTGCAGTAACATGCTCTTGGGGGGTATCCAACCAAAGAGCAACACTTGCAGAACCACCCCAAACTCATATCCTAAACCTTGCTGAACCGCTGCTCGACTGCTGAATCCGTGGGCACACAAAGATTTAGTCTTTACAGTGTAAAGCCTGACATTTGTCGTTTTTACACCCCTAAAGCCCGAAACCCCCCGACCCTGTAAACCACTACCAGAACCCAAAAGCGATAAATCTTAAGACCCTATACGCCCTATCACTCTTACGACGACATCCGCGCCCTGACCATTGAAGGTCGCACGGTTTAGCATAAGCAAAACCCTGTGGCGCCCTGTGACACCCACAAACCGTCTAAAACCCTACACAAATCGCAAAAAAGTGCCCCAAACTGGCTCAGGAAGCCAAGACCTAAACCCTAAACCCGCAAAAGCAATCCCCTAAACATTAAGCCCTGAGCCTGAGGGTTTAGGGTTTAGGGTTTGGGGGCTGAGCCTTAAACCCAAACCCTCAAAGGGAATCCCTTAAACCCGAAACCCCTAAACCCTAAAAACCCTCAAAAGGAATCCCAACTGCACTGACTTTTTCTCCTCAGCTGCACACCTCGGAATCCGATCTTCGGGGCTAGGTTGGTTGGGGCTTTACCCAGGGAGCCCCAAAATCCTCAGGTTCGGGGCTACTGTAGGGGCTTTAGTCAATAATTAGAATAGGGGTTTGGAGTGACTCGGACAAACGTCTGCAGCGAACAAGGCTTCAGATGACTTGTGCATCCGTAGATTAGAATAGGGTTTTGGGGTAATATCATACTATAAACATAGCAAGGAACCCCCAAAATAGTATAGGTAGGTATTAAGGGCCCTATATCAGGGCTTTAGGGCATGGAAGGCTTTTCAGGGCTTGTAAAAGGGCGTTCTCGGTTTCTAGCTTGCAAGGTTTTTGGCGCTTTAGAAATTCAGAGTTTCCGGATTTCCGGATGTTGTTTAAAGCTTTTTGCCTTCCGCATGGTCGGGACGATGCCTGTGTGCATGATAGGGGGTCCAAGTCCACATATTGACGTGTTACGCTGCGGTACATTCAGCGAGTCATTCCTCACTTTCTTCAGGAAGACAAGGAACCGAACCGCGAACCGTGGAACCGGAACCGTCAGAACCGGAACCTGTGAACCGAGTAGTAAAACCGGAACCGTCGAACCGAACCGAAATAGAAACCGAACCGTGAAAGGTTCCAATTCTCCGGAGTTAGGGGTCAGGGTTCTCTACTTTTATCTTTTGCCTGCTCTTCTCTTCTTTGATTGTCCTTGCTCTTCTTTGCTTGCCTTTGCTGTTGGCGTGTAGCAACCTCAAGCAAGGAAAACAGGGCAAAGAAGAACGGCTCAGAAATCGTTCCTTTGCCCAAAACAAGCCAACCCCTCGTATGGCATTCCTGGGAGGCCTTTAGAAGAGCCCCCGAAAGCCAACCGAACCGAAAATTCCTAACACAATGTGTTAGGGCGATTCTCGGCTGGTTGTCTTTAGGAGAACTCTTTCAAAAGCCTTGTAAAGGCCCAAATACCCCAAAATCGCCTTAACACAATGTGTTAGGCCGATTTTCGGTTCGCTGTCCTTAGGAGAGCTCTTTAAAAGGCCTTGTAGAGGCCCAAACCCCCAAAAATCGCCCTAACACAATGTGTTAGGGCGATTTTCGGTTCGTCGTCCTTCGGAAAGCTCTTTGAAAGGCCCTGTAAAGGCCCAAAACCCCCAAAATCACCCTAACACAATGTGTTAGTTAGGGCGATTTTCGGTTCGTTGTCCTTCAGAGGGCTCTTTGAAAGGCCTTGCCAAGGCCCCACCCCCCACAATCGCCCTAACAAAATGTGTTAGGAAAATTTTCGGTTCGCTGTCCTTCGGAAAGCTCTTTGAAAGGCCTTGTATAGGCCCAAACCCCCCAAAATCGCCTCAACACAATGTGTTAGGGCGATTTTCGGTTCGTTGTCCTTCGGAGAGCTCTTTGAAAGGCCTTGTCAAGGCCCACCCCCTCCCCGATCACAATGTGTTGCGCCCTAACACAATGTGTTAGGGCGATGTTCGGTTCGTTGTCCTTCGGAAAGCTCTTTGAAAGGCCTTGTAAAGGCCCAAACCCCCCAAAATCGCCCTAACACAATGTGTTAGGAAAATTTTCGGTTCGCTGTCCTTCGGAAAGCTCTTTGAAAGGCCTTGTCTAGGCCCCAAACCCCCAAAATCGCCCTAACACAATGTGTTAGGGCGATTTTCGGTTCGTCGTCCTTCGGAGAGCTCTTTGAAAGGCCTTGTCAAGGCCCACCCCCCCCCCTAACACAATGTGTTGAGCGATTTTCGGTTCGTTGTCCTTAGGAGAGCTCTTTCAAAATCCCCAAAATCGCCCTAACACAATTGTGTTAGGGCGATTTTCGGTTCGTTGTAGTTTGGAGTGCTCTTTCCAACCCCCAAAATCGCCTTAACACAATGTGTTAGGGCGATTTTCGTTTCGTTGTCCTTCGGAGAGCTCTTTCAAAGGCCTTGTAAAGGCCCAACCCCCCACGATCGCCCTAACACAATGTGTTAGGGCGATTTGCGGTTCGCTGTCCTTAGGAGGCTCTTCTAAATATTCTAAAGGCCTCCCACTGCTTCCGTTCGCTGGATTGAGGGGTGGCTCAGGGTGTCAGGCTTTCTTTCTGGAACCTTGCGAACCGCGAACCGAACCGTCCAGAACCTTCCCTCAAAACCGAACCGCCGAACCGCACCGCAGAAACAGGAACCGAAACCGAACCGAACCGAACCGTTTGCTTCCTGCTTTCTTCATCTTAAAAACAGGATGTAAGTTAGGGTTTAGGGTTTGGGCTGTAGTCTTGAGGGCAAAGGGATTAGGACTTTCTCACGAACTCGGAATCCTGTTGAGGTGATAGATACACACCTTTGGGGTTCTAGTGACGCAGTTCTAGGAACACAGTAACGCGGTTTACAAGTCCTATAGATACCCATCATGGAGCCCTTTTAAACACAAGGTTCGGGTTTTTGCCTCGGGTTCGGGGTTCCCTGGGCGCTCCGGCGCCGTGCTTTTTTTAGGCAGCTTGGGACGCAGTTTTCGCACCGAAGCCATCTGGCTGGGCCAAGTTGGCCAGGCCCTTGTTCAAACGCGGTGCTAAGCCAATTCTTCCTTCGAACCTATAAAGCCTACCCCCAACCACGAGCCCTATACTTATAAGGCCTAGGTCGCTATAGCTCTTCCTCTTCTTGACCCTCCCCCTCATCATCATCCGCGGGCGAATGGCAGGTGATCTCCTTAGATCCAGGGTTTTCTTATTCTCAACTTTTACCTATAGTCTCCATTGTAGTTCCTTTTTTTGGGTTAACCAAATTTATATTAAAGGATCCTAACCATAAAATTGGTTAACCAAAAAGGGAACTACAATGGAGACTATAGGTAAGAGACCTAAACCCAAAGTGCTGGGACCTGCTCTTTGCCTCTTCCTCTCCAGGCGGACAAGTGCTGAGAAGACTAGAGATGATGGGCTTGTCTGTGGAATGGCATGGAGGCAGCGCTTCTGGAACTTCATTCAAAATATCATAAGCCAGAAATCAGTTTGTTTATGTACCATGTATGTCAGTATAAGTGCACGTGTGTATGTGTATGTTTATGTGTATGTATATGCATACAGTATGTGTGTAAACGTATATGTATATGTATATGTATATGTATATGTATATGTATGTGTATGTGTATATGTATATGCATGCACGGATGTATGTATGTATGTATGCATGCATGTATGTATGTATGTATGTATGTATGTATGTATGTATGACCGTATGTAAGCATGGATGCATGCATGGACGGATGGATGNNGGATGGATGGAAGGATGGATGGATGCGTATGTGTGTATATATGTATGAACGTATGAATGCATGCATGCAGGTATGTGTAAGTACGTCCATGCATGTGCATGTATGTGCATATATGTATGTACATATGT